CACCCACCCCACCTGAACATTGTTATATACAAGATGAGTATCAATAACAACTATCTTCAGGATATGTAAGAAAGGATGGGTAGCAAGCCAAATTTAGTTTGTTCTGCCCAGGATGATCCTTTGGTTGATCTTTGGTGACCCTTGTTTGCTTCTGCTTTCTATACTGTAACACCCACTGGATATTGGGTTATACTGAGCATAGGAATATCCATTTGTGGTACAGAAACAAAACTATTATTATGATATAGTTGTGTACAGATTCAGAATGGGTTCATCTTCTACACTGAATACCAATTTAGAGAATCCTTTCATCTGCCCCTGTATTATTATTATTACTATCATTATAATTTTGTTTTTATCCTGCCATATTATATATATGAATATATATTCATTCATTCATATCCATTCATTCAACTCAAGGTCGTTAACTTAAGTAATACTCCGACTTCCTATTTTCCCCACAACAGCAATCCTGTGAGGTGGGTTGGGGTGAGAGAATGATTGACCAAAGTCACCTGGCCAGCTTTCATGCCTAAGGCAGGCCTAGAACTCATAATCTCCTGGTTTCTAGGCAAGCACTTTAACTACTACGTGAAACAGCCTTAATACTGACTCCACTCTCTTTTCCTTCAGTTATTCAACTGTTTGCCTGTTGTTAATGGTATTTATCTCAAAGTCCTTCTTTCCAACTCTGTCCCCTTAGATTATCTTGGTCCAAGTTTATGTCCTTTTTTGGTTTTGATCTCTTCACCTTGGTGGTCCCTTTTTCATGTTGCATACCTTATTACAAATTTTTTGATAATTTTTATTAAAGAATTTTTTTGAAAAATAAAAGCAATACAAATTTTGAAAGAGAAAAGTAAGGAAAGTAAAGAAAAGTAATAAGTGAAAAAATGTACAAAGAAAAAATAGAGAAGAGAGAGAAAGAAAATAAAGAAGAAAAGAAAAGCGGCTTCTGGCCTTCTTAACAGCAGTTGCAAATACATTTATATTCTACCTTCTGTCTCTCTCAGGTTACAGTATAATTTCCTTCTTTCCATAGTCTACCCTTTCTAATCATCAAACCCATAAATCACAAGTTCATTTGTAGTTATTGTCCTTTCTGTAATCAAATCATGATTATGCTTTCAAGTAATCTCCAAAGCTTCTGGCAAGATTTGACCTCTTGACTTACCACTTTAACAATTTTTTCATCAGTTCTTGTTTATCTGGCCAAGTTTCTCCTTTCAAAGTTAAATATGACTGTTGGCAATTTTCTATTTATAAATATTAAATTTGATATCATTGCAGTCACTATTTCCA